TCGTGCTTCAGACTACCGCAAACAATTACTTCTAAACTTACTAGTGCGGTTGCTAAATTTTGGTGGAGTTCAAATGCAGATTCCAGAGGTATGCACTGGATGGCTTGGAACAAGTTGTGCAATAGTAAATCGGAAGGAGGGTTAGGCTTTCAGAATGTAGACGATTTTAATTTAGCCCTATTAGCTAAACAATTATGGCGGTTGATTACGGTTCAAGATTCCTTTTTTGCGAAGGTGTTTAAAGGGCGGTATTTTCGAAAATCCAATCCCTTGGAAAATATTAAATCATACTCCCCATCATATGGATGGCGTAGTATCTGTTCAGCTAGATCTCTGGTTAATAAATGACTTATTAAAAGGGTCGGATCGGGGACATCCATCTCAGTTTGGGAGGATCCCTGGATTCCAGCTAAATTTCCGAGACCAGCAAAGAGTAATGGTTCATTTGTTGACCCATTGTTAAAAGTAAACAATCTTATAGATAGTCGGTCGAATTTTTGGAATCTTGCTCTCCTAGAAGAGATCTTTGATCCAGAAGATATCGCCATCATAAGTGCCCTACCTGTGGGTGCGCCAACTAAGGAGGTTACACTGGGTTGGCATTTTACAAAATCCGGAAAATATACAGTCAAATGGGGATATCATACCGCACGGTTAGGAAATTTAGAGACAAATTTCTCATTGATTGGTCTAGACATCAAACCGTTAAAAGCACATTCTTGGCAAGTGCATTGTCCACCTAAGATACGTCATTTCTTATGGTAAATTTAACGGGTTGTGTACCAGTTACGGAAAATTTACGGAGAAGAGGAATCGATCGTGATACAGGTTGTGCCAGATGTGGCGAACCAGTGGAAACAATCAATCACATGTTCTTCTTTCTGTCTCGAAATAATTGATTGTCTCCTTCCTAACTAGACCAAGAAGAATTGACATAAACTATTTCTTCCAGAAACGAAAAATGAATACAATGTCGAAGTTAAAATGTCTCATAAATAATATTTTGACAGAATGGTATTTGTTTTTACATCTTTGGATCGAAAAGATCCGATGCATAATCAATTCCTACTACATAGGGTAACACGACTTAGTGGAGTCGAATTCCGGTGAGAAAGGCGGAGTCAAGTGGACTTAACCACTTGACTAAAAGCACATCCCCGACAGAATGATATTTATTTAAACAAACTAAAAAAAAACAAAAATATGTGTTGGTCTCATACATGCTAGGTGATTGGGCCACTAATTATGAGCCAATTCAATTAAGACATTCCACAAACTCTCTAACAAAATAGTTAAGTAGGAAAAAAGAAAGAAGTTGTGTTTTTTTTTTTTGTCATCTGAAATTAAATAGAAGCGGTTATCTTTTGAGATCTATTTAATTTCATCGCCCAGAGGAGAGCATCTACTTCTGTATGTAGTGGAGATAGGATTCTACGGAGGTTGGCAGCTCCCATAGTTGGCGGCTCACCATTTGATGATGTACAAAACCATCCGATACCAGAGTATTTATCATTCTCTTTCCAAGATCCGTCCACAAAACAACGATATCCAGAGAAGTTCGAATCAAGGGACACAGTCCTCGATCGAGACCGATTTGCAAGTTCCACAGAAACCTGATTTTCATTAAGAAGCTCCACTTGAGCTGATTGTCACAATTGTGACTCTTTTTCCGCTAACCGTAAGACCTCTAAAGGATCTTTGTCTATATTTTCAAAGGTTGTTTCATTCTTTGCTTTCCAGATATACCATATAATCCATGGAAAAGTTGATGAATCAAACTCCGAAGGTATTCTCCAAAATAAATGATCCAAGTTCGCAAAAATAGAATATGTGTTAAAAGTCTCCATAGCCGTAGGAATCTAAGAGAGTGCCCAAATCTGCCGTACTGGGTGGCACTGAAAGAGTGTATGATTGATTGTTTCCTCCGATGCGCCACATTTGGCGCATCCTGGGTCACAATCAATTCCTCTTTTCCTTAGATTCTCTGTAACCGGTATACAGCTCGTTAAAATTTTCCATAAGAAAGGGCGTATCCGAGGTGGGCTCTGAACTTGCCAAATATGTGCTTTTAACTTTTGATATCTGGGCCAATGAAAGATGAGTTTGTCTCCAACTTATCTATCTGTGTGGTGTGATATCCCGATTTAACTGTGTATTTATCGGATTTTGTAAAATGCCAGCCCAAAGTATCCTCCTTGGTTGGCGCCCCCACCGGTAGGGCACTTATTATATCGACATGCATCTTCTTGGTCAAAGATCGCCTTGAGGAGATCAATATTCAAAAAATTCGACCGACTATCTATAAGCTTGTTAACTTTTAAAGATGGGTCAACAATTGAACCGTTACTTTTTGCTAGTCTTGGGAATTGAGCTGGAATCCAGGGAATCTCCCAAACTGAGATGGATGTCTCGGACACAACTCTTTTAATAAGTCCTTTATTAACCAAAGATCTAGCTAAACAAATACTCCGCCATCTATAGGATGGAGAGTAGGATTTTATGTTTTCCAAAGGATTGGATTTTCGATAATACCACCCTTTAAAGACCTTCGCGAAGAGAGAGTCTAAAACCGAATCAACCGCCACAATTGCTTTGCTAGTAAAGACGAATTAAATTCATCAACATTCCGGAACCCTAACCCCTCTTCCAATTTACTATGACATAATTTATTCCAAGCCATCCAGTGCATGTCTCTAGAATCACCATTCAAACTCCACTAAAAGTTAGAAACCGCACTTGTCACTTTAGAAGTGATTGTTTTTGGCAGTCTGTAGCATGACATAACATATGTTGGTAATGCCGCAGCTACCGATTTAATCATCACTTCTTTCCCACCTTTAGATAAAAATTTTACCTACCATCCGTTAATTCTTGTCTATAATCGTTCTCTAACCATTTTTTTTTTTTTTTTTTGTCTTGGATCCACCTAAACTTTCTGGCAATCCGAGATAAGAACCGATGCCACTGATGTTGGTGATACCCAAGGTAGATTTAATCTCTTCCTTGATATCGTTATCTACCTTATGTCCAAATTGGATCGACGATTTTGAATAATTTATCTGTTGTCCTGAGACTGCTTCATATTGCTTGAAGATCCCTAGAATTACCCCATACTGGTCCTTATTAGCCTTACAAAAATATAAGCTGTCGTCCGCAAATAGCAGGTGTGAAACCGGAGGGCTTGCTGTCGCTACCCTAATACCCGTAATTAATTTTTCCCGTTCTGCTTTCCGAATATTCGCAATTAATACCTCTGTACAAAGGATAAATAAGTAAGGAGAAAGCGGATCTCCTTGTCGTAATCCCCTCTCTGGGACTATTAGTCCTCTAGGTTGTCCATTAAGGAGAACTCTGTATTGGACTATTGATATACACCATATTATCTATTTAATCTATTTTTCACAGAAACCTAATTTCTTTAAAACCTTTTCAACCTAATCTATTCCACCCTATCATATGCTTGCTCATATCAGTTTTAATAGCTATGAATTTGTCTTTACATGACGGGTTAGTTCTTAACCTATGAAACATCTCTTGTGCAATAAGAATATTATCCGAAATTTATCGTCCTTCCACAAAAGCCGATTGTGTTTCCGAGATCAGTTTTGGTAGAACCGTCTTGAGCCTTTGGCAAAGAATCTTCGAAATAATCTTATTTTAGATCACTTAGCCTACTGCTTTCCATGATTTCAAACCACTATTTAATTTACCAATTGTTGTTATTTTTATATGTTAATCTTGTGATACAACTTTAACATCGTCTTGTCAAATAAAAACGTACTATACGTTAAATATGTTTTTTCACCAATTTTTTGGGTTAAAAATATTTGATTTAAATGAACTCACTAACGTGTTTTTCTATTTGATTATGTTATATAGTTTAGTTCCACTTGAAATATATGTTACATAATTTACATATCACTATTTTTTGTTAACAACTTACATATTAGTTTATGTATATTTTGATATATAACTCATGAATAATATAACCATTAATATTATTATATTTTTAGAAGTTAGATTATAACGTATTTGAATTTTCATGATTTGTTTCTATAGTTTCACAAAAAGTGACTCTTTCAATTTCTTTGTCGTAAATCAAAAATTTAAGTTCGGTTTAGTAATTTTCTTAAGTGAACATTTAATAATAAATAAATCTCTTTGTAGTATATTTCTGTTACAAACTAATGTTTCACTTTAAATTTTAATTTTTTCTTTAAAATTTTAGAAACACGGTTACATAGATTATTTTTTTACGCTACCATGCATTTAAATTTTACTTCCATACTAAACCTCATTAACATACTCAAAACCTCATTTTTAATTTTCTTTATGTTTTCTTTATATTAAAAGTTGATATATTATTATTACTGATAAATTTTTCATAGTATTATTTCTACTATTTTCCAATTTTATTTATTTTATTTAATTTGTTTGTATTTAATAAAAATTTCTGTTAATTCTAATTGACATCAATATACACAAATATGAATTAAATGACCATTTTAATTAGAATTTAATGTAAAAATATTTTTTTTGACTAATGACATGGCTTTATGTGGACATCTTAAGAGGAGAGAAAACTCTCCCATTATATATATATAGATTTTGGGTTATTCAGTATTGAAGAAATAGCTACCAAACTAAACCATATCTTTTATAAGTTCAGTTCGGAGTTATTCAGATTTCGAATTTTGTCAGTTTAAACCCAAAAAAATCGTTTCGGATTTACCGTTTTGAATAACCATTTGCAGAAGTCGTAAAGTATAAGTCAGAATGTTCGGTACGGTTTCAATATTTGGAGAAGTTTCATTTTTTAACTCTCGAGGAAAACTTAAACAGAATTATTTTGGTTTCTAAATAGTTTTCTGTTGTTTGGCTCAAGTCAAATCGATTTATTAGTTCTCTTTGAAGTTTGAACTCAACACTATCGCCCACCTGTTTAGGCAATGAATGGATCAAAACCAATCCGGTCTAGGCTGCTTAATATGTCGAACCGGTTAAAACTTACCAATAAGATGATATTAACAAACACAAAAAGAAAAAGCAGAGACAACAATTACAAATAGAGTTCGTTCGTTAACTAATTGGACATTAGTTTGGTCAGATCACAATCACATGTATACTTCCATACCTAGAAACTTAGAAGACTGACACAAAGGACAAGAGCTAAGCTTCCTCTCACACTCCTTACACAGACACATATGCTTACATGGCAACAACAACATACACACTTCTCTCACTCCACAAAACCTGCACATCATCATCGGCTTCGTGTTATTGTTGTTGTTGTTGTTGTTGTTTCTGCCATTGAAGCAAGAAGCTGTGTCATCCACTTCGCTGTCTCCACATCCTTCAATGCTATCTCTTGGTCGACCTTGAGCTCGTTCAAGATTGTAGTTGAGTGCAGCAATCATGTTCTCGTTGTACGTTGCACGTTGTTGCCATGCCTCGGCTTCCATTGTTAGCTGTTCCATACGCACCTCAAGTTCCTTGTTCTTTCGGTTTATCATCTCTAGTTCCTCATCTTTCTCACGGAGTTTCTGGATAACTTTTTCCTCCATGAGTGACACGGTTTTATGTTGACCCCTCTGGATCTTGTCGAGGATAGCATGCCGTAACTGATCCCCCTGTCGAAGATACACAGAATCAAGAACACGGAGAACAAAACAAAATCTTTAAGTCTCCTCATACATCCAAGAAGCATCTAAATATACGAACTAAGCAGATACAGAACGAGGAGCTCATCCTCATGCGAATATCGAAAAACAATAAATATAATACGAACATCAACAAATATCAGGTTCTTTACCTGAATCTTAAGAAACCTATCGATATCTGCATCCTGCCTCTTTAACTCACGATCAATATCGTCTCCAACAAGCGACAACAAAGCAGAGCCATCAGAAGAAGCAATACGAGCATTATCAAGAGAAAGTCCCAATCCGGTTGATACAGACCGAGCTTGCCAAAAATCAATAGAAGATATCTGAGAATTGTTCTCCAAAAAATCTTGTTCCTTTATCCTCTCCCGTCTTGGTTCAAGACCAAGACCATAGTTCCACTCTAACTCAGCTCCATTACCACCATCAGAACCATCAATTTGACCAACCGGTCCCGGTGCAAAACCAGCAACATGAACTGATATAAAAATCAAACCTTTAAATTACCAAAACTGATTTCTCAATCAAATTTCAAAACCCTAATTCCATATTCCCAAATCTTAAAGTCCAAGAATCAGATAAAACTTACATGGAGGAATATACGGAGGATGCTGAGATTGATCATGGAGATTCGTAGAGTTATCAAACCCTAATTCCGGCGAAATCTGGCCGTCGATTCCGCAAAAGTCTCTGAAACAGAACAAGTTCGAGAAATTAGGGTTTTGAATCTTGAAAATTTTACAGAAAATTAGGGCTTTTCTATCACAAACAGAGTACAAGACAACAAGAAAAGAGACTGTTACCTGAAATTCTTGGAGTCTTGAAGGTGTGGATCTAAATGGTGAGGAAGAGCCATCGATGAACTTAGAGAGAGAGAGAGGAAACAGAGAAGGAGACGGAGATGGCTTCTGAAATTGGAAACTCTTAAAGATTTGTATTTACGATCGGGTCCCTATATTGTTTTATATCTTTGTTTTTGACCTTATAGTTTGGTTTCTTTTATTATTTGTCCTATACTCTTAAAATCAATGCTTTTACCCAATTTGGGTTCCTATATTATTATCTTTAAATATATATATATATATATATATATATATATATATGTATATATAATTCTGTGATTATTAATTTATGATGTTATTGAGATTATATTTTTATATAAATTTTTTAAAAAATTATTATCTTATTATTTTATTATATATATATATATATATATATATATATATATATATTATATAAGATAATATATAATCTATCGAATATCGTTTACCACTTTGTAATACAATTAGCCATAATTTTTTTGTAAGTTTCCAACTTCATAGTATGCATTAATTTCATTACAATAGTCTAGCTACTAGACTATTAAAATACGATAGTTGAGGTTATTAATTATAAATTGAATCATAAACTTAAATTTATATATATCGTTTGTATAAATGTATTCAATTATAGTTTTTGTGATTTATTGTCAAATGAGTTTTTTGAAATATTAAATTTTCAATTCTATACTACAAAATTATAACATCCAAATCATAATTTTATGTATATTGAATTGTCTAACCTTATATTTTTGTAAAATTTGAACAATTAAACCAAATATCTCTATAAATTGTTATCACTATAAATTAATAAAATATCATGGTCTCAACGTTATTTATTTATAGAAGTTTTACTGTAGCTTAATCGTCTTTCGAATCATGAGTCGATTTTGCTGTAGAACCCATTTTCGTTGTTGTATTTATAATTTGGAATTTCAATTATAATTGGTTAATAATTAATGGAGATTAGATTGATAATCATGTTTTTTGGGTCTATAAGGACATTGCATTGATAATGAATGAAATGTAGTGGTTGAATCGTAGATATTAGGCCTGCAAGTTCTATTATTCGGGTCGGGTCGGGTAGATTTTTTGAGTTTTCTGTTATTTCGGAATCTGTATATTTGTTCGCATATCACCAAAATTAATTTCGGTTCGGTTTGAAAGCCGGTTAATTCGGTAATTCACAATCCTACAGAATTTAATTGAAAAAAAAAGTATTATCAAGGGAAAATCCCAAAAAAAAAACCTCCAAGTTGAAACATTTTCCTAAGTAAAACCTCCAACTTTTTTCGTTCCCATATAAAACCTCCAAATTGAAAATTTTCCCAATTAAAACCTTCAACTTTTTTCGTTCCCAATTAAAACCTCCAACTAATTAATTTTCTCTAAAAAAACATTCAATTCGTCAAACTTGAGCCCTATCAATGGTTGACCAATGATCGCTGGTAATTTCGTTCAGAATAGTTAATAGTCGTTGACGACATCTATTTTTCGTTTATTTAGTTTCCAAAATTTTATTTGAACCCTAAAAATTAGAAAAAATGTATTATAGGGTTCGTAATTAAGATTTTCATCTTTTCTATTGTAACTAACACATGTGAATTTTGAAAACTAAATAAACGGAAAACATGTCGTTAAAAGCCGTTTACCGTTAGTTAATCATTGATCAGGCACAAATTTGACGACTTAAAAGTTTTTTTAGAAAAAATTATTTAGTTGGAGGTTTTATTTGGGAACGAAAAAAGTTGGAGGTTTTAATTGGGAAAAAAATTCAATTTGGAAGTTTTATATGAGAACGAAAAAAGTTTGAGGTTTTAGTTAGAAAAATGTTTTAATTTAGAGGTTTTTTCTGGGATTTTCCTTATTATCAATAATAATTCTTCTTATAATTACATGTTTTAATCATCAAATTTGCCTCGTTATGTTAAACAAGTCGTTCACAAACTACAGCTCGCATAACCGTGAAGAGGATTTGGGAATCGTGGAATATTTGTTGACGACAATTGCTACATCCAATTAGGGGTTTAGTCTGCATATTGAAGCTGAAAACCATTTGCCTAAACCTATGTTCCGTGAGCATGTAGAATAACATCACGAAAATTAGTAAGCTAGCAAACTACAGCTAGAGGTTGACGAGGTAGATAAAAGTGTGGCCATCATTGCTAAGTCCAGACCAACGAACCAGCATTTCTTCCGTGCTAAAAACTGATAAAAAAATTACGGGAAGATATAGCGGATTCTGCGCGGCCGGATCACCAAACGAGAAAACTAACGTTAGTCTTGGATAATTCATTATAAAAAAAATCGATTAATTAGGATATTAGTTTATGACTTTGAAAAAAATCACATTTAATATTTATAGACAAGAATCAACAATATTATAGACTAGCTATGTAAATAGGATTATAGAAACTTTCCTTGTGAATTGACTGGACGAATGCAGGAAAGAATTGGTTATAGGGACTAACCTTTGAAATAAATAAAACCCTAATTTGCTTATAAATTTTAGCAATACATTTTCATATCATATTTTTATTTTATTTTAAACTATTTCACTATCTTCTCTTTCTTTTAGGTTTTTTCTTTTTCCTCTCAATCATGATTCTCTCTTTTCTTCTTTAATTATTAATAATGATTTTTGTTTATGCAAAATATAGATTTATTTACAAGAATATCAATAATCTCAGGCTATTGAACTCATATTTCATATCAACTATTTTTTTTTGCAAAGAATTCATATCAACTACTTCATCATAATTTTGTCCCTTCACATTTTACAAGTTATATTTATATTTCATTTTTAGCAAATCACATAATGAAAGCATAATTTCTTTGTTAGAAATGTAGCAAATTCATCCAACTTAGAGATATAAAAACATCATAAATATTTTTATGTGCTAGATTTAACTATTGAACAATTCTACTATAAAAAAAAATATGAAATAATACAGGTAAGTGAAAATATTATTTTATGTTTGTGTTGGCAGGTGGATCTAGAGAGAATTTGCAATCAGGAAAAAACTCATGTAATTGGTGAGACGTTGTAAATAATTAACTTTGAAGAACTTGTAAAATGAAAATAAATTTTGTTAGTTTTGAAATTCTCAAAGTCGAAAGAGCTTTTGTTCATCTGCAAATATCAAAAAATACAAGTAATAAAAGTTTAAAACATTGATTTTTTGAATAACAAAAGTCATTTAGATATTAGCAAATAAACTTTAGATAAAATCTTGCATATGAATTAAATACATATATGTATAGGGAAGATATTTCTAATCATCTCCAAAAAAAAATATGGGTTTCATTCAAAGAATTGATTTTTTTATCGAAAAATGTACCATTTTTAACCAATAATGTAACGATTATAAGAACAACTAATATAAATTTCCTATTATGTTTGACAAAATGCGTTTGACTATTTTAAAACTAAATTTACCAATTTTCTATGTACTTTATACATTCCTAGCGATTGAGAGTTGTTGATTATGTATTTAATAGTTTAATAAATTTCTGTTTAATTCATCACCTTAATGCAAGTGGAAGTTTAACATAAATAAGCTATTATGTTGAGTTTTACAATGATTTTTATTTGTAAATTCTATTTTAGTTATTAACTTATGTTGTTATAAAATAAATGATATATATTCATTTACAGCGGTTGGCGTTTTGAAATAAATAAAACTTTATTTTACTTATAAACTCTAACAATGCGTTTACATCTCATATTTCTATTTAATTTAAAACATGTTTACTATCTTCTCTTCTCTTCTCAGGTTTTTTTTTCTCTCAATCACGATTCTCTCTTCTTCACTTTAATAATAATCAATGATTTTTTTGTAAAATATGGATTTATTTATAAGAATTCAGACTATTAAACTCATATTCATATTAATTACTTTATCATAATCTTGTCCTTTCACATTTTTCAAATTGAATCAATATTTTAAATAAATAATTAATAGTCAAATATATGTTTATTTTACATGAATAATTTTTATAATTATATTTAATTGTGTAATTTTGTCAACAAATGACCAAATAAAAAGAAAATTTAATTGTTAACATGAATAAATTCATCAACTTAGAGATCAAAAGTATTATGATCATATTTTCCTTTGCTAGATTTCACTACTATCTCTAAGCATTCTCCTATAAAAGAAAAAGAAAATATAGTTAAGTTAAATTATTATTTTATGTTTGTGTTGGCAAGTGGTTATAGAGACAATTTGAATTAAAAAAAAAAACTCATTTAATTAGGAGATATTGCAAATAAAGCTCGAAAAACTTCTAAAAGTAAAAATATAGCTTTCGTTCATCTAGAACTTCTTGAAGTCGAAAGAGTTTTTGTTCATCTGCAAATATCAAACAATACATGTAAAGTAAATTAAAAACATCGATGTTTTGAACTAAAATCATCATTAAGATATTAACAAATAAACTTTAGATAAAATCTTGCATGCAAATTGAATAAATATATGCATAAGGTAAATATTAATCTCAACCCATTTAATTTATATATCATATTAATTACTCCATCATAATCTTACTCCATCAAAGTGAAATTTATGTTTTTTTAAAGGCATTTGCAAAAATACTTTTTTCTATGCCTTTTTTTCAAAAATACCCTCTTCTGTTGTTAATTTTTAAAAATATCCCATGTTATGTATAAAATGACTAAATTACCATATTTTTGTGAAAGCAGATAAATACAAAGTGAAAATTTCTATTATCCTTCTTTTGATTACCTCTTTACATCCTTATACAAAGTGAAAATTTCGACATTTTTCCAAAAACAAAACACCAAAAAATGAAAAATCTTTGAAGAATTTTTTATTTTATTTAGAGTTTTCAATTATTAGACCAAATGCAATGCATGCTTCCATAATGATATGGGTTACAAGGTAACTTGCATTTTTGTGATATGGGCTTTGTTTTAAATCTTATTATCTTGGCCATAATTAGAGACACATCAAAAGTTCAAAACCAATAAATTATAAACAAATGAAAAAAGAATAAAAAACAAATAAATAAAATGTGATTCCTCGTGGTTTTCAGTGCAAGCCTTGCAACGATGGAAAGACAGAAAAGTTGATTTTTTCTTCAAAATCATACTGGATATTGCTCTCACAGTGATTAAGATTCATGCTTTGCTTCTTGGGCTTCAAGCCTCTCCTGTAAAATATGATGCCGCCCCTAGGTCCACGGAGAGACTTGTGTGTTGTTGAGGTAACAATATCACAATAATCGAATGGATTTGGACTTTCCTACAACATTGACAGAAACAAAAACGTCAAGAGAATGCCAAGAAAAGCAGGCTAAATAGATATCACTGAGTAAACACAAAGATCATGTGCTTAAGCTTCAAGTTTAATGACTAATGCAAAAGAAAAACAATCCATAACGCAATATGGAAAATGAGAATGAACACACCTTGGCAGCGACAAGACCGCTAATCTGTGCCATGTCAAACATCAAAACAGCTCCACATTTGTCTGCAATATGCTGATAAGCACGTGTGGGAGCTGATACAAGCAATGAGGAGGCACATGCGAATACATGGGATAAAAAATCAAAACAGGTAAAAAGAGTTACACTGAGGAATCGAACTTGAGATACTTGTAATATTTCCATACCCTTGAACCATTAGACTAAAGAGACTTTTACTTATATGGGGCCGATTAAGAACTATATATTTTGGGGCCGCAAGCACATGCTTCACCAGCTTCTGCCTATGGCCGGCTCTGCTCACAATGAAGCACAACAAAGTCTCCAAGAGACTAACTATGACATGGGTTCCTATTCTTTGCATTTCTTGCTTTTTCCTCGGAGCAATCTTCACCTCCAAGTTCTGTTTCTTTTTAAGTTTCTTCTTATCTTACAAAATAAATTCATGTATTTTTGCTTTTTCATTGTTTTTGTTGTTTTTACATTTTCAGATTGCGATCAGCGTCTTCGGATTCCGGTAGCCAGCTCATTTTACAGCACCGGTGTGATCAGGAAGTTAAGATTGTTACCCAAGATTATGCTCATGAGAAAGTATTTTTCTTAAATCTTGAATCTCATTGAATCTGAATTTCTCCTAAAAGTATTATTTTGGTGTTAAAAAACTCATTTTTTTAATCTTTGGATTTCATCCTAAATACAGAAAAAATCAGAAGACAAAGATGTAATGGAAGAGGTTTTAAAAACCCATAAAGCAATCGAGTGAGTGAAATTATATTAAAAACAAATGATTATTTTTTTTGTAAATCTTAGACTTGCATGTTGATTAGGAATGTTTTGATGATCATTGTTGATTCTGAAAATCACACAATGAATTTGTTTAAAGGAAGAGAACAAATTCAATTAACTCTCTTGCTATTTGTGACCAAAGACTCAAAAAGAATGATGAATTTTATTGCTTAGAGACAACGCTAGGGTTTAGCTCAAGAACAATTAGGGTTTTTTGTGCAAAGTTGCTGATCCCTTGAATAGAGGACAAACCCCCCCCTATTTATACAAAACTAAGACGGTTTAAAGATATGTTAATCTTCTAAATCTTCGGAGTCTTATCTTCGAGTTTTCCTTTTTCTTGAATGAGAACTCGGTTTAGGCGATCTCCCGTCTTCGGACCGAGCTCGCCAGGTGACCTCCTTTCTCTGAATTCGCCAGGTAACTGAATTCTCAGATTTATTAGTAATTCGTCCGGTTTATGCCGGTATTGTCGGAGGTGCTAATTCCTGCACCAACAATCATAGTCTTGTGTTGTGACAACAGATCATTGGATAAGTCAGTTTCTATGCTTCAGAAGCAGCTCTCTACTACACATAGCTCACAACAGATTCTGGATGCCACATCAACCAATTCTTCAACAGAAGGAAACCAAAGGAAGAAAGTTTTCATGGTTATTGGTATCAATACTGCATTTAGTAGTAGAAAACGTCGTAATTCGCTTAGAGAGACTTGGATGCCTCAGGGTATTTTGTGATGTCCCTCCTTCAAATTTCTGGTTCCTTTCATGCTTCATTGCCTCTAATCTTAGTTAGCTTTTATATGTAATCTATCACAGGGGAAAAGCTTGAGAAATTAGAAAAAGAGAAAGGAATTGTCATCAAATTTATGATTGGACACAGGTGAAAAAAATCATAGAATATAGTGAAACTAAGACTCTTTTAAGTGCAATGTAGTCTAATGTGTGTTTTTTTAAGTAGACTAAGACTCTTACTTGAATGTGATTGCAGTTCAACGCCAAACAGTATATTGGATAAGGAAATTGATTCAGAAGATGCTCAATACAAAGATTTCTTTAGGCTGGTGAGACCAATTCTACAAACTTGATTCTTCTAGGATTTGGTTTACGATTTTCCTGATTTTTTTTTCGGGAATTCTTTTTAACTTTTGCAGGATCATGTCGAAGGATATTACAATCTATCTGCAAAAACCAAAAGCTTCTTTTCTAGTGCAGTTGCAAAGTGGGATGCTGAGTTTTATGTCAAGATTGATGATGATGTTCACGTCAATCTTGGTACCAAAATATGTTTCTAGCATAATGTAGTGGAGTATGCAGATCAGTCGATAGAATGTGGATGGTTCATGTGATGTGTGGCGAAGGTGATAAAGCTGTGTGGGACGCGAATTTAAAACTCTCTTAGATCGGAGAAAGAGACAAGAGGAGATGAACATTTTGTTTTGTAAAGAATTAAAAGGTATACAAATTAAAAAGCTGGAGAAGAAGCTGAGGAAGACCTTTTAGTTCAATATTTTCTTTTCGTTTGTGGAAAAATAAAAATTAAAAAGAAAGAATGAGACATTCTATAGATGCAGACGTGACAAACTTGCTTCTTATACACTTTTTCCTCAATATGAAATTTCTATTTCTTAGTCATTTTTGAATATTTGAAAGCAAGAGTCTCGTATACTCTCCTATCTCTCTGGTTTTGTGATTTCGAGTAATCTAACTTGCATCAACATCAGCAACTTGTACAACAATCACAATCACTTATGCAACTTTCTTAAATGTAACATCATTTACCTAAATTCTCTGTTTTTACTCTGTTTTTTGTAAGCTTAAAAGTTTTGAAAAGTGGGAACCCAAACAATATAATTTCTGTCAATATATTAACCTTGAAACCAAAAAAAATAAAGACTTCGACTACTTGTGCAACTAAACTAAATTCTAGAGCTCGTTTCACCCAAGTACTAGTTCATCTAACTCTCACATGGTAACTTGAAACTGCACAATGGTCAAACATGATTGTTGGCAAACAACTCGAGGATACAACTATCGTCAAACTCGTGTCCACAAGGGTAAGGTCACAAATTGTGGGAGCTGGACTTCGTCTTCTTGTATAATTTCATTGATATAGACTGATCAAGGGCAAACTTACTTGCCATTCTAAATCGAATATCAGTGGTGCTCTGTTAGAGCTAAGAACCAATTCCAAAACTAAAACCTTTATTAAGATCAGCTTCTCGTCTTCCTCCTGGGGTCATGGTCAAAAGACTCTCTCTAGTCTCAATTGTGTTTGCAGATTGTGACATGTACGAGTATTTCTCGCTGCCCTGTTCTTGAGTCCTACATTATATATGTTGATGTTAACAATCCCCTGGCTTGAAATGGGAACGTCTTGCCCTTTCATCAAGCGACTCACCATCTATCACGATTGCCCCGATCAATCAATTTTGCTTAGTTAAGGATGTCTTCCCAATGAAGACAAGGTTATGCACAAACGTTTATGGAGTTTCAAGCACATATACAAACCGTTTACACAGGCCCAGCCCATATCATAGGCAAATGAAGCAATGCTTAAAGCCATCATAATTTTGGAGACATATTTTAGGTTTAAAACTTTTAAGCTTTTTATAATAAAAGAAAATATTATAGGTTTCTCTTACAAGATTAATTTTTGTTGGGTCGTTTTCAACCATGCTTGTAGATTATTAACTTAACAAAATTTTAATTAAGTATGCTATTAATTTTTTATTTAGTAAGATTCTGGCTTAGAAAAAAAATCTTCTAAACAATGGCTAAGTTTAACTTTTAGATTTTGTTTTTATAGGATCGATAGTGAAAGTGGCATGTGGATGTGGTGACAATTGATTAAGAACAACGAGACAGAAGACAAATACTAATCCCCGAAACTATACTCTGTCGGGCGAAAAAAGTGCAAGCAATATAATAATTAATGGTTTAGATTATAATTATTATACTTGTTTTGTTTTGTCTTTTGTGTAAAGAATGTAAAAATGTTAATTAGAACTTGTTTGAGATTATTGTTAATTTTCTAATGGCTTTGCTATCAATTGAGATAGCTATAGTCAAGAAGCTCAACTACGTGAGATTAATGGATGATTTTGCAGGAAAAAATACAAAGAGAGTAGCTAAATTTCGTGAATAAAAGTTTTTATACTTTTTTCTTTATTTACAAACTGTTTTATGGAATTAGAAAATATTTTTAAAATTTTAATGTGACTTTTGTTATATTAATATTCTCTCTGATTTTGCATATTAAAAAAAAGTCACACTTCTTTTCTCTTCGTATGACATATGAAATTGTTGGATTGGCCTTACCTTTACTTGAGACTCGTACTCTCACAACTGGTTGGCAAGAGTTTGTCTAATGAAAAATTAGGTTGTGGGGGACTTTCTTGTCTTAGTGGAGAAGATAATTATAGTTGGAGTTAGACGGGCCTTTGGAAGCCAAGAAGAGTCTCAAATACAAGTACCGGTACCAAAAAGACTCCTAGTTAACATCATTTGGGTAATATGTAATCGAGGTTCTCTGAGGCTGACATAAACTTCCTAGTACTTTGCTAAACTCTTCAAGGTTCAAATAGTTCTTCTTCCCATACTCACCGGGCTAGCTCTCCTAACAGGAAAACGAGTGTTACAAATTTATGATTTTTATTAAAATTTGAACATAAGTTATTGTAAAACATTACAAACTCCCAATTCAAATGGTTGAATAACAAAAATAAAAAGTTTTTTTATATTTACAATCTAAAAATAATCGGGTTATGTAAGATTAGGCGGTGAATAATCGGATTAGGCGGGAAATAATCGGATTAGGCGGAAAGTAATCGGGTAACTTATTTCTTTAAGGGATTGATTAGTCATTAATCGAGGCGGATAGGGTGGATCTAGCGATTAAGCGGGGAGTAATCGGACCTAGGCGGAGATTTTTAGAACAGGGGTTGGAGTTAGACGGGCCTTTGGAAGCCAAAAAAGTCTCAAATACAAGAACCGGTACCAAAAAGACTCCTAGTTAACAAATTTCATACACTTAAACTTTTTTCATAAACCAATTTCATACATTTAAACTAAAATTATTTGCAACACTTATTAAGTTTTCTAAAATTAAAATTGTTAATTTAATTTAATTTTTAAATTAATATTTCTTTTTCTTAAGAACTACAAGTTAATAAGAACCTACCATTGGAGACACATAATTTTTTTTTAAAAAAATACAATCTCTTAACTCTAAACTTTACAAATTTAATATTAAGAACCAAAATTAAGAGCTTATCAATTATCTCTGTAAAAAGAGTAGGGCTAAGGGTTGTTGGGCTCATGTTGGGCTGAAACAAGATGTAGAGAGTAAAACTAAACATTTTTTACGGAGAGGGAAGAACGAAAATGATGGGAAAAAAAAAAGGAAGAACGAAAAAAAGAAAAGTCAATGATGAATTGAATGCTTTCTCCCTAATTTATTTATCTTCTTCTTCCTCTGCCCTCTTCGTCGATCTTGCCCGACCAATCTCGGGTCTTATGAAATTGATACGGCAAAAGAAAAAGGAAGGTGTGAATTTTTCTAGATTTTATTAGCCACCAGATATAATCCAGGTGAATCTTCTTCTTGTTTTGTTTGTTTGTTGGGGTAGATAAGTAGATCTAAAACCTTAATCCGTCTATGTGTGCCCAAAGAGTAGCTAGAGATTTAATTAGCAGTTTGCCAGATGAGGTTCTTGGCAAAATCCTGTCGTTTCTTCCGACACATCATGCTGCTTCCACATCGGTTCTGTCCAAGAGGTGGAGGAATCTGCTTCCGCTTGTAGACAAGCTTGAATTGACTGACGATGCAAGTGGTCGTTGTCCTTTAGGCTTCCCTGAATTCGTGGACAAAACACTTGCTCTCTTAGACAGGCCTTGTTCAGTCATCAAGAGATTCCATTTGAATTGTGAACATAAGCATGAAGAATCTCGGGTTTACGGTTGGATTCGCACAGTTCTGGAGCGCGGCTTCTTGGAAGTTCACTTGGAGTCCTCGCGTATGTATTGTATAGATACTGAGTTCTTCACTAGCAACACACTGGTTGAGCTCACAATATGGGGTGCGTTTTATCCCGACGGTATTCTTCCTCCTGGGGGTGTGTTTTTCCCAGCGCTCAAAAGACTCTCTCTAGTCTCAGTTGCGTTTGCAGATTGTGACATGTACGAGGATTTAGTCTTTGGCTGCCCTGTTCTTGAGGAGTTATTCCTATATTATACAGATGTTAACCAAGCCCCGGCTTGGAATGGGAACGTCTTTAGCCCTTCCATCAAACGACTCACCATCAATCACGATTTCCCCGATTACCCTGAAGTTCACAGTGAAATTTGGTTTAATACACCCAGTCTTGTGTACCTTGACTATTCTGGTCATGTCTCGCGTTGCTATACCGCTGAATTGGGTTCCCTTGTAGAAGCTAGACTCAATCTTCAACCATGGGAGCAACTTATTGACTCAGACGATGATACAGACGATGAGGGTGATTTTTATAGTTATGATCCTAATTGGGAAGCAGTTTCGAAAGATGCTACGGGTCTGGTTGCAATGATAAGCAATGTTAAGACCCTTCACTTGTCTTCAGATTCTCTTGAGGTCAGTTTTTTTGCTATTTGTTCTTCTTGTGTTAATTGTTTTTCAATTTGGAGCTAGCTAACAAGATTTGTTTTGGTTGTGATAAATCAGGTATTTCACTCTCTGTGTAAAGCAATGCCAGCGTTTCAAAACCTCCTTAAGTTATCGTTTGAGAGTGACAAAGAAAGAGGCTGGCAAGTGGTGCCACTTCTTCTCAACAGCTCTCCAAACCTGGAAACTTTAGTCATCAAGGTAAATGTATATCAAATTTCTGTTGATCAACACTTGTTATTCTTCTTTGCTTTACATGAATTTCCTTTCGATTTCAGGGGCTTGTGCACAAAGTTACTAATAGATGCGGGGACGCCTGCATTTGCATCCGTAAGAAGAAGGGAGAATGTTGTTTATCGACATGTCAAGTGAAGGTGTTAAACATTTCAGGGTATCGCGGAACTTGTCGTGAGCAGAAGCAGATGAGTCATTTCTTGGCAAATTTGAAATGTCTGGAGACTGTCAAGGTGGGTGTTGAAGTGGATCACCGAGAAGACAACGATGCTAATAATACGTACCTGCGAATCACCAATGCTCTTATGAAGCTTCCTAGGGTTTCATCAAACTGTCGGATCCATTTCCTCTGATTTCTCTTTTCCACTGTTGAGGGAGAGTTTGGGCTTTAGGAAAATGAGGCCCAATCCAAGAGAAGCCCATCAACGAAGCAGGTCTCAAGCCCAAAGGCATCGAGGCCCGGACGACCTCGCCGCCCTACGGGTCCGCCACGTCACAATACACGAGGGCAAAACCGGTAAAACCTGTCAGGGTACGCCCTACTCCGGAGGAGTATAAAAGCAGGACGACTAGTCCTGTCACATCCATCGAAAATCACGCTGACACGGCAAGGACACGAAGAGCTCGGCTAGGACACGAAGAGCTCGGCTAGGACACGAAGAGCTCGGCTAGGACACGAAGAGCTCGGCTAGGAGGAAAACCGATCTCAGTTTGGAAAAAGAAAGCGACCTCAAGCTTTGTTCAACTCGGAAAACAACCTACAGTTCGGCCTAATCAACGACCCGGACTCCTCAATCCGACGTCACCAATCTCGGCTCGCCTAACGCTATTTGAACTCTCGGCTCGAATTGTTTTAGGAGATTCTTTTTACTTCCCTAGAGAAACCCTATTTCGTACTTGTGTGATTCGTGCATCAACAGTTGGCGCGCCAGGTAGGGGGATAGCTCAGAGATTTCTCCAGTCAACAAAACGAGCCCGCGACAACACGATGGCAACCGACGGAAACCAGGGTACCAGCATGGGCGTCCGAGACGACAACGCATCCTCCACGGGAGGAGAGACGGTGACGCCGATCCCGTTAGGAGTACTTCCGACTAGGAAGGCTACCCATACCTCGGTAGCTATTCCCGCGTCGCTACCGCAGACGCCCGAGGGACCAGCAGAAGCAGCAAGGAACGAAACGCCCCCGGCACACCAGGAGGAAGGCGAACCGACCTCTCCCAGCAGACGACGTCCAACGAACCTCGAAGAAAACCATGCAGAACGGCACGCTGCGGCAACAACTCCCGCCGAGCCAAACCGACTGCTCCAGAACATCCTCGACCATCTAGGTCGACAGGACGCACGAACAGATGCTCGGTTCGCATCTCTAGCCGCGGCTCAAGCGTTCTCCATGGACGAGATCAACCGTTTGCAAACGAGTCGGAGTGCAAACGCGGTCTACACTCCAGCACTCCCCGGACGTCCCCAGGTAGCTCAGCCCGTCCAAACCATGGGCAGCACCAATCCGCGAGATACGGAGATCGCCGAACTAAGACGCGCTGTCCTGGAAATGAGCTCGAAAATTCATCGTGCCACTAGTTCGGCTCCAGAACTCGACCGTGTGCTCGAGGAAACTCAGCAAACCGCTTTCACCCGAAGAATCACAAGCGTCTCCGTCCGCGGATCCAAGAAAATCAAGTTGGAAAGGTACAACGGAAAAGGCGACCCTAAGGAATTTCTGCAATCTTTCAGCGTCGCGATTAACCGCGCCGAGCTGACTCCAGAAAACTTCGAGGCAGGGCGGTGCCAGATCTTTATCGAACATCTCACGGGCCCAGCTCTCAACTGGTTCTCCCGCCTAAAGCCAAACACGATCAGCAGCTTCAACCAATTGTCGTCGTCTTTCCTAAAGCATTACTCACCTCTCATCGAGAACCAGACGTCCAACGCCGACCTGTGGTCCCTATCGCAAGGCTCCAAGGAATCACTCCGATCATTCATCGACCGCTTCAAGGTGGTAGTAACCAAAATCACCATCCCTGACGAGGCCGCGATAGTAGCCCTACGCAACGCCGTCTGGTACGATTCAAAGTATAGAGACGATATCACTCTTCATGCTCCAAACACTCTCGAGGACGCACTTCATAGAGCCTCGCGGTATATCGAGCTCGAAGAAGAGCGGCTCGTTCTAGCCAAAAAGCATAATCCGCCCAAAACATCCGTAACCAAGGAGACTGCTTCGGTGATACCTAACACAGCAAACAACGCCGAGCCAAAGCAACATTCCAAAGGCAATATCGGCCAGGCACGACGACCTACGACCTTCGTCGTTAACAGCGAAACACCATCACCAAGGCCGTGGAACAAATATGTAAGGGACACCGATTCCCCGGCATCGACGTCAATATTCTGCGAGTACCATAAAAGTAGAGCGCACGCCACTGAGGATTGCCGGTACCTGCAAAGCTTGCTGATGGCAAAATATAAGAGCGGAAGCATCGCGATCGAGTGCGACCGCGCCCAAGGAAGTAAGAATCAAAAGCGTAACGAGAGCACGGCTCGTCAATATCTACAAGACCACGCGAAAACCGAGGAAGTCGAGGATGCGAATGATTCTGCCAAAAGACCTCGGAATGGAAAGGCACCAGCCGAAGCTCCGGTGGTCGTCAGACAGGTCCGAATGATAATGGGCGGGCTGCAAAACTGCAATGATTCAGTTCGGTCAATTAAACAACATCGCAAAAAAGCTGAAATGAAGGAAGTGTGGCCGTCCACGAGCGCACCACCAACTACGCCCGACGACGAACCCATATCGTTCACCCAATCCGACCTGGAGGGCGTCGATACACCGCATAACGACCCTCTCGTCGTCGAACTCATCATCGGCGATAGCCGAGTAACTAGAGTGCTCATCGATACTGGAAGCTCGGTCGACCTCATCTTCAAGGATGTTTTGGCTATAATGAATGTCAGCGATCGGCAAATAAAACCCGTATCGCGCCCGTTGGCCGGATTCGATGGTGACTTCGTAATGACAATCGGGACGATCAAGCTGCCCGTATTCGTCGGAGGAACGATCTCGTGGGTCAAGTTCGTCGTAGTTGACAAGCCCGCAGTTTACAACGTCATTTTGGGAACACCCTGGATGCATCAAATGCAGGCGATCCCGTCCACGTACCACCAGTGCATCAAGTTCCCGACGCACAACGGAGTGTTCACCTTGAGAGGGAATCAACAGATCGCAAGAACATGTTTTCTCATCGAACACAAGAACCGCGTCGCTAAGAAGTTATAGCAATTAACGACGCCAACATCGTCGACCGTCCCGACCCTAAAAAAGTCCCTCGAAGAGCCTCAACTGAGCAGAACAGAACAAGTGAATATTGACGAGACGGATAAGACAAGATGCGTCGCAATTGGGGCCGAGATAGTACCATCGGTTAAAGAACCACTCATCGCGTTCCTAAAAAAGAATTCTAAGACGTTCGCCTGGAGCGTAGACGACATGATAGGCATCGACCCTATGATCGTTACGCACGAGCTTAACGTCGACTCAACCTATAAACCGGTAAAGCAGAAAAGGCGAAAGTTGGGACCGGAGCGAGCCAAGGCCGTAAATGACGAAGTCGATAAGCTATTGAAGGCTGGCTCGATAACCGAGGTAAAATATCCGGAATGGCTAGCGAACCCGGTCGTGGTGAAGAAGAAGAACGGCAAATGGCGTGTTTGTGTAGACTTTACCGACCTCAATAAGGCATGCCCAAAAGACAGCTACCCGCTCCCCCACATCGACAGGATAGTCGAAGCGACCGCCGGGAACGAACTTCTGTCCTTCATGGATGCATTCTCGGGATACAATCAAATCCTCATGCACAGGGATGATAGGGAAAAGACCTCGTTCATCACAGACCGAGGAACCTATTGCTACAAGGTGATGCCATTCGGCCTCAAAAACGCCGGCGCGACGTACCAACGTTTGGTAAATAAGATGTTCGCCGATCATCTCGGACGAACCATCGAAGTTTACATAGATGACATGCTGGTAAAATCTCTAGTAGCAGCCGACCATGTCCGACACCTAAGCCAATGCTTCGACGTATTGAACGAATACAATATGAAATTAAACCCCGCGAAATGCACGTTCGGCGTAACATCCGGCGAGTTCCTAGGGTACATGGTCACACAAAGGGGGATCGAAGCCAACCCAAAGCAAATTCGCGCAATCCTCGATCTGCCTTCTCCAAAAAATGCACGCGAGGTGCAGCGATTAACAGGACGGATCGCCGCACTCAACCGCTTCATCGCCAGATCGACGGACAAGTGCTTACCCTTCTATAACCTCTTAAAAAGAAAGGACAAGTTTGCATGGGATGAAGCGAGCGAAAATGCTTTCAACGAACTCAAACAGTACCTCACGACGCCCCCGGTTCTCGCTAAGCCAGAAAACGGCGAAACTTTATTTCTATACATCGCGGTATCCAGCTCGGCCGTGAGCGGTGTGCTTGTTAAAAATGACCGAGGCGACCAGAAGCCGATCTTTTACGTCAGCAAATCCCTCATCGAAGCCGAGACACGCTATCCCACAATGGAAAAAGCTGCGCTAGCGGTCGTAACATCTGCAAGGAAATTACGTCCCTACTTTCAATCCCACACAATCGCCGTTCTCACCGACCAACCACTACGAACCGCCCTACACAGTCCGAGCCAGTCTGGGAGAATGGCTAAATGGGCAATCGAGCTCAGCGAATACGATATGGACTTCAGGACCCGACCAGCAATGAAGTCGCAAGTTTTAGCTGACTTCCTTATTGAACTACCGCTCATTCCAAAAAACCTAAGCGGAGACCCCGAGCCTGGCGACCCTCAGAACGGCGTCTGGACGCTGTACGCCGACGGGTCCTCGTCATCGCATGGCTCTGGCGTCGGCATACGACTGATCTCACCAACCGGGGAAATAATCGAGCAATCGTTTCGTCTGCGTTTCACGGCAACAAATAATGTCTCCGAATACGAAGCACTCATTGCCGGTCTACGTCTCGCTCTAGGAATGAAAATCAAACGAGTCCAAGCATACGTTGACTCACAGCTCGTCGCAAATCAATTTAACGGCGAGTACGAAGCCAAAAACGACACTATGGAGGCATACCTCAAGGTCGTCAAGAAATTATCCTCGCAGTTTACACACTTCGAACTAACCAAAATCCCGCGAGGAGATAACGCGCCAGCTGACGCTCTCGCCGCATTAGCATCTACGTCGGACCCCGACCTTCGACGTATTATCCCGGTGGAAAGCATAGATCGACCAAGCATCGAAGCAATCGATACTGTCAACTTCGTCGGAACCAATCACGATCTGGACGCAGCCGACTCAACAGACTGGCGGGTCGAAATACGCGATTTCCTCACCGAT